TGTCAGGAGCAGTTGGCCCCAGGTGACTGCCAGAGGTTTAGTAAAACAAAAATAATTTGGAGGACAATTTGCGTCTCTGATAACAGTGCATGTTCTGGGCTCGGTGGAAGCCCAGAGGCTCTGAGGTGATTAGAAGAGGTGTTGGGCTGAGACTGCTGGTCACGGAAATCGGGAAGCTGTCAATTCTAGGAGACAGGGAGCCAACCTCGCTTCCTTCTCGCTGCGGACTGGTCTGGAATTGGACCTTGGCTTAGGGCTGGGGCCCGGGACTCTCCGCTGCTTGGGCTCCCTCCACTGGAGGACTGCGTCAGGGAAGTGTAGCACTCGTTCTGGAGCCGCGAGACCCAGACTACAAAGCTGGGTGCACCCCCCGGGGCTGGGAGAAGCAGGGCACTGTGCGCTCTGCAGACAGCTGCCTGCTTTCCCGAAGCCCGTGGCTTCGCCACTCAGTTCCCCCAGGGTCTGACCGGGAAACAGCGACCCCTTGAGTTACATGGTACAGCCTTCCCAAGGAAGAGACACCCCGACCCCAGGAGGCGGGTGCTCCGAGGGCCTCTGGCTATGTGGGCTGGAGGCGCTCCGGCTTGGCCCTGGCGGGTGAGCAGCCACCCGCACCCTTGAGCTAACTGCTGAGTATTGTGCTTGAAAAGTTGTGGAGCCCCAGCCCCCAGGCAGGAGATATTTTTACTTGTCTGCCTCCTAGTCAGTCCATGGCTTTTTCCTCTTTTTAGGAAGGTGCACAGTTCAGTGGCTCAGTGCTGCCTCTCACGCGGCTGCTCTGAGCTGTGCGCTGCTCGTTGCTTGGTGACCGCGGAGGCGCGCAGCTCCGAGCCCCTCTGCGTTGAGGTGATGGAGGCCTTCCTTTCCGAGCGTGGTGGAGCCGCATCTCATGTGCTGCTCATGAAAGCACCTTAAAACCCACCCAGCTACTCCCGGGGGATGATTCCAGCTCAGCCGGGCTGGCTGTCCAAGCATCCCCATGACACCCCAGCAAACTCTCGACTGACTAAGGTGGCATGACAGGCCCAAGCAACTGAGCAGCCAGAGCCCAGGCACGGCAGGCCTCACTCACACCCACATGCACGAGGGGCACTCCCAGGATATATATGCAGAGCTGAAAGGGCTCAGAGATCATCCAGACCAACCCATTCTACCCACAGGGAGACCAAGACTCTGAGAGGTCAGGGCATGGTGCCAGTCTGCATGGTCAGTTGGTGGTGAGTCAGGCCCAGCACCTCGCCAGCCTCCTGATACCTGGGTCATGGCTGGTTCCCTGACCTGCAAAGGGAAGACCAGAGAGGAATCCGCCCCTCCTGGGTCCTTCTCTGATCCTGGTGCTTGTCCCAGGCCGTGCTAGGGGTCACTGGTTGGGCACACATTCCCGTGTGCAGGTCTGAAAGCTGACCGTCACCAGCACAGGAACTCCAGGGATGGGGGGGGGGGGACTGGGAAGGGAGGGTTGTTCCACGTCACTGCTGGAACTACCTCCCCTTTAAACACACAGAGAGCACAGGAGTGAGGAGACCGGGTGCTGACAGCTGTGCCGTGTGTGTGGTGCCCGGTCTTCCCTCTGTCCTAGGTGTAAGGGATACAGCCACGAACAAAATAAGCCAAATGTTTCTTCTTGTGGAATTTATATATTTCTCATAGAACGGTCAGGTACTAAAGAAAGAAATTGACATATAAGGGCCAGTGGTGATACTTGCTATAAAGAGAACTAACATGGGGTGGGACCAGGGGGTTGCAACCTGTAGGGATGCTATCCTGAGGAGGGCACACTGGAGCAGAGGCACTCAGGAAATGTATGTCAAGCTGAATGTATGTCAAGTGGCGGAGTGAGTGAGTGAATGAATGAGCGAATGAATGAATGAAATAGCGCCCTCAAACCCAGGCCTGTCTGACTTCAAAGCCCCTGACCTTCACCACCACCACCTTCTCCCTGTGCCCACCCCGAGGAGTCTGACCCGGTGGCTTCAGGCTGTTCTTCCCCTCTCTCTGCGCCTCTTTCTCCACTTATACAAAATGAGAATGGTGCTAAGGTCCCTCAAGCTTTCATGTTTTTTAAAAATATGTTTTTGTTGATTTTTTAGAGGGAAAGGAAGGGAGAGAGAGACACACATCAATGTGAGAAACATCCATTGGCCGCCTCCTGCACACCCCCTTCTGGGGATTGAGTCTGAAACCCAAGCATGTGCCCTGACCAGGAATCAAACTGGGACCTCTCAGTCCATGGGACCATGCTCAGTCCACTGAGCCCACCTGCCAGGCATGCTTTCACATATTAAGTGTCAGACTCAGGTGTTGTCGCCTGAGCACATTCACTGGGCACAGAAGGTTCCAGCCATGATTGCAGCCCAGCCCCATTGCACATTTACACTAGCACTTTGCATCCTGCAGACCTGATGGCACAGGAGGCCTCTGGACCCCCTCCTGCACTGCAGGGTATGCTCAGCATGGCAGTGATGTCTTGAGAAGAAGGAGGAAGCTCAGCTCGCACTGAGCTGTTTCCTGTGGGTTTTGTGATGCTGCTGTGGTATCTTTCTCTGGCTTTACCACAATGTGCTAATTTTGTTTTTGAGTCCTCCTACTTTCAAATAATGCTCCCCCACCCTCACCCCCAGCCCTTTCTCATATTGGTGACCAGAGCTGCCACTCACTAGGCTATTATGGGGAAGCATGTTCTCCAGTGGGTCAGCATCAAGATAAATTCTGCAGACTGGCGGAATCCCTCTTGCTTTTCTTCAGTTGTGGCAGGATGTGCAGTAAATCAAACCTAATGCATTGCAGATCGCTCTGATCAGATCCTGCTGCAGGCAGACCTGGAGACTGGCTCTGAGCTGAGGCACCCTGCCGACTGCAGTCTCCAGCAGGACCCCGGCCCTTCTCCCCAGCTCTAGTTTTAATAAAAATTCTTTATGTCAGCTGTAGTGGAGGTGGGGTAGCTAGATAAGCAGCCATTGCATGTGCCTTAGATTTGCTTCATTTAAGTGCTTTGGGGACCAGGACCCGCTGATGAGGAAGGGGGAGGGGCTCACCCTGGAAGGACACCAGCCTCCCCACTGCACAGTGCCCTGCCGCACCATTTGCTTGGGTAGCATGGGCAGGGCAGCAGCCTGCCAAGGCTGAGGACTGACACAGACACGCAGTCCCACCTTGGTGCATCTCCAGCACACAATGGGATATTCAGCTGACCCACTGTGGAGTCCCAACAGAGAGCTGCCTTGCTTGTAGGGAATTTTGGGGTCTTCTAGACAAGCTGTCTCTGTCCCAGTCACTCCAAAGCCCAAGACCCTGACTGTTCCTGGAGTTTCTGGGGGCAGTCACTAAAGACTCACTGTCCCACTTGGATGAGGAGGGCAGGGAAATGTCACCTGCTGATGTGGTCCAAGGCCTGGCCTGGAAGGGTTGGCTAACCCTGCAGACCAGCATGGAGAGTTGTCCCCCTTGCCAGGCCTCCTGGCTTCGCTAGCAGCATTGGCTGGCCAGGTCCCCTCAAAGGTCAGTTTTTTTTTGTTTTTTTTTTTTTTTTAATCCTCACCCGAGGATATTTTTCCACTTTTTGTACAGATAGAGTGGGAGGGAGAGAGAGGAAGGGAGAGAGAGAGAGAAACATCGACATGAAGGGACACATCGAGTGGCTGCCACCCACACGACCAACCAGGGCCGGGGACAAACTGCAACCGAAGTACGTGCCCTTAGCGGGAACCGAACCCGGGTCTCTCCGGACCGCAGGCCGACACTCTAACCGCTGAGCCAAACTGGCCAGGGCTCAAAGGTCAGTTTTTGCTGGAGTCAGTCAAAAGGTCTGGGTCCAGCCCAGCAGGGAGGGCAGCCAGGCATGCTTCTGCTGTGCAGAGACCCAGCCCATGCCGTTCAGGTGGCATATCCGAGGAGAACAGACGGGAGCCGGCTTCCAGGGGCAACTCCTCCCTTAGTTAAGTAATTACAGAGCTGGGTAATTTACATCCCTGGAAAGATGCAGGGCAACTGCAGGCCAGGTGTACATGTGTTTAATTTTAAATTCTCTGACCTCCCCGTAATGAGGAAGTGCTTTGAAATATAGCAGAGTGCTAGGATCCTTCAAAGACTCGCTTCCTTGGTGCTTTATTTCTTTAAGGGGAAGCATGAAAGACGGATGAGAAATGGCAGGGGAGGGTGTTGCCTCCTCCGCCCCCACTGCGCAGACATTATCTGCTGTAAAACTGTTACTGAAGGATGGAGAACCAGCTCTTGGCTGCTGTGGCCCTCAGATAATGTCACTGCTGAGTGATGACCCAGAATTTGTTGGCACCAAGCAAACACCTCCAGGACTCTGGTGCCAGATCCTTGGCCGAGCCTGGTCAGCGCTCTTGCCTGGGGAATGAAGGAGCCACGGGTGCTGGTGTCCAGGGGCCTCACGGTGAGAACTCTAACCCTTTCCCCCCAAATGTCAATATCCCTTTGAATCACCTGGGGATCCTATACAAATTCAAAAAAAGATTGAGTGGATCTGGAGTGGGCCTGACATCTCTCACCAGCCCCGCTGACGTGGCTGGCCCACCACTATGTTTGAATAGAAAGGCCCTAGAGAAGGAAGCCGCTGGCTTCCCCGGGTCCCACCAGGTGGGTCTCAGTAGAACACAGAGGACTTGGACTTAGCACAACCTGCTCAGTCCTGGGAGTGGAAGGCTGTTGGACCCCCACACAGTCTTGAGCACTCGGATCTGCGTTTGTGAAAGTGGGTATCACTGCCGTGGATGACCCTTGATTTGGGTTTGGTGTCTGGTGTGGCCTCTTCTGCCTCATTCCATTTGCCCTTCTAATGATGCTCAGATAAGGCCTGTGGAGAAACTGAGTCTGCAGACCTTGAGCTCCCCGATGGGGAGGAAGGCCAGCTCAATATTCCATGCCACTGACCAGCTCTGTGTATGTGACAAGGAGTTGATTTGGTTGTGTCCACCTGAGCTTCCCACCTCACTGGTCTGGCCAGCTAATCCTCTCCTGCTCACCTGGCTTCACAGGTCCTGGATGAGCAGGAGCTGACAGCAGTGAGTCCCGTCTTCTCTGTGCTGGGGAGCAGGGCCGCGTGGCCCCAGGGGCACTGATGCCGAAGAACAGCAAGGTGACCCAGCGTGAGCACAGCAACGAGCATGTCACGGAGTCGGTGGCCGACCTGCTGGCCCTAGAGGAGCCCGTGGACTACAAGCAGAGCATCCTGAATGTGGCAGGCGGGGCAGGTGGCAAGCAGGGGGCGGCGGAGGAGGAGCTGGACGCTGAGGACCGGCCGGCCTGGAACAGCAAGCTGCAGTACATCCTGGCCCAGATCGGCTTCTCCGTGGGCCTCGGCAACATCTGGAGGTTCCCCTACCTGTGCCAGAAAAATGGAGGCGGTAAGAGGCAGGCCTACTGGCCCTGGGGTGCCCTGCATGTGGGCTGGGCTGAGGGGTGAAAAGGAACACCCCCTGACCTAGGCCAAATTGGGACCTTGTAGGTTGAAGCTCTGGATTGCAGAGTAAGATTCCTCAGGAATTGCTCAGGGCTGAGAGCTATTAAGAACCTGGACGGCCTGGGTCAAGTTCCCTGGCCAGCCAGCCTGCTCTCTGTGCATGCAGCTTTATCTCTCTGCCTCTCCGTTCCTCATCTGTAAAATGGGAATAATAGTAATTCCTGCTTTACATGATAGTTGGGAGGATGAAAAGAGCTTTGCATGTAGAATGCTTTGCACGTAGAATGCTTTACATGGTGTCTTCCACATTGGAAAGAGCAGCTTCTGGCCGTTATTATTAAGTGCTTGCAAGGTGCCAGGCACTGTCCTAAGCATTTAATGGATAGGATATTAGTCTGAAATAGATTAAACTGCTGATATTTGAGCATCTTGGAACAATCAAAGCACTGGTTTCATATGGTTCAACCATCGAATCCCTCCAGCAACCCCATGTTATTGTCATCTTCATTTTAGAGACTGCAAAACTGAGCACAGAGAGGTTAGCTAACTTGCTCAAGGTCACACAGCTAGTGATAAAGTCAGGATTCAAACCTGGGCAGCTTGGCCCCGGGGCCTCCGCACACCATCACCACACCTACTGCTTCCCAGGTAGAAGGGGCCCTCATGCTGCCCCCCTGCATTTGAATCCCCCTAGAGCCGTGGTTCTCAATTTGTGGGTCGTGACCCTTTTGGGGGTCAAACAACCCTTTCACGGGGGCCGCCTAAGACACAACGGTAGCAAAATTAAAGTTATGAAGTAGCAACCAAAATAATTTTACGGTTGGGGTCTCCACAACGTGAGGAACTGTATCGAAGGGTCGCGGCATCAGGAAGGCTGAGCACCACTGCCTTAGCATATTCTACTCTGGTATCAAACCCCTTCTGCTCTCCAGAGTCTGGTCTCAACCCCCCAGACCCAGGTGGTCTTTCAAATCCCAGGAACAACCCGGGGTTGGCAGAAATGAGACCCAGAATGTAGACCGAAACATGGGCTGTCAGCCATCCCAGAGACCGCAGGGATCCTGGAATCCAGTTCCGACAGCCATATCCGCTGTTTCCTGCTGCCCTGAGCAGCGCCCCCTGCTGCCCAAACCGATGCCTGGGCTCCCGAAGGCCCTGGACACCAAAGGAACCAGGTGCAGCCTAGCTGTACTTTCTAAGGTGAAAGAGGGTGCATTTCCAAATGATTTCAACAAGGGTTGATATGAAAAAGCACCTCTGATCACCCAGAAATTCTGCCCTCCCAGCTCGCATCCCCTGAGCACTGTAGTTAGCGAGGCTTCGGCCGGTGGGGAGAGCAGCGGTCCAGGCAGCGCCTGGGGCCGGGCTGAGGTGCACGGGCCTGAGGGAAGGGTGCGGGTGGCTGGTCTCTTCTGCAGGACCCTCTTTGGACAGTACTTACCTAGAGGCTTTCCTTGGTTCTTTGGGGAGAGGAGAGAAACATCTACAGAAGATGCCAACCTACTTCTCCAATACCCTGAAACCATCTCCTTGAACGTCTTGCCCACCCAAGGACATGCAGGAGAAATATACACCGGTGTGGCTGTGTCCCTTTGCCGTCCTGCAGGTCACTCCTGTCCTCTTCCATTTCCCCGAGTCCAAGACCGAGAGACAGGACTAGGTTAAAAGACAGGACCTGCCTCCTTCCGGTGCCACAGTGGGGCTGCTTGTCACGTGTGTGTGACTGTGCACGTCTGTGTTAGTGAACTGGATGCTGTTGTCAGGCTCAGGAGGTTGCCTGCCCTGGAAGCCCTTCCCAAGTAGCTCTCTTGTCAGTTGGTTCTGCGTGTGTGTGTGTGTGTGTGTGTGTGTGTGTACACACACCTACACGTGCTGACATTGCTCATGTGAAGCTGGAGGTCCCGCCAGCTCTCCTGGAACACTGTCTGAGCCCTCTGTTGTCCTGATGTCCTCTCACTGTATATGTACAGAGTGGATAACAGCAGACCATTGCCAAGTGTCAGGTCATGTGCCCAGAGATGCCCATCTCTTTGTTGGCTGGTTGAGCACATATTGGGGAGCACGTGAGATGTCATGTTATGGGGGGCAGAGTAGTGTGGCTAGAGGGTCTTCTAGAGACTCCCAGCTCACAGGGCTTGGTCTGGGGGTGCTAGGAGGCCATCAGGGCCCTGGTGACCAGTGCTGGTCTGACACCATTAGACACAGGCAGGGCTGTGCCAGCAGCATTGCTAACAGGACTAGGTCATTGGCACAGCTCTCAATGGGATCGCTCGTCTGTGTCCAGACATGGTTTTAATTCTCCTGCTAAATGCCCTGTCACTTGGAGACAAGATTGTGTCTGCACTGAGGCCCAGGACAGTGAGTTTCATTTATCATCTGGAATCTTTAGCGATACCCATTCTCTCCTTTATGGTCCTCCCAGCTACACTTTCCTGAACTGCTAATTTCTCTCCCGTTCCTCCCAATTAGCTATAGATTAATGGCTGTGCTGGTCAGAACCTCTCTCCCTGGAGAGCTTCCAAGCTCTGCTTCCCCGGAGCTGCCCAGTTTGCTGCGTCAGCATCTGGCTCCAACACAGGGAAGGCTGTGCCCGGGATCTGTGCCTCCGGGGGGCCCGCTCCATCTGGGCTGCTGCTCTGTGGGTGGGAGGGGTGTGAACAGGTGTCCACAGAGTACATCACGAGGTCAGTGTGTCTGTTGGCGTGTGATTTGACATGTGGATTCTGAGAGACAGGACAGTCTCTGTCTGTCTGCCTGCCTGTCTCTCTGTCTGTCTTTGGGGCTAGCCTTGTAAGCAGGAGGCATTGATGTACGTCTGGATGCTCCCTTAGTGTTTAAGGTCAGGGGCATCAAGGGGAAGAAGGAGGTGACCAGTGTGTGGCAGGTCACACGTATGAACCAGACCATCCCTGGAGGATCACGAGGACCAGTGACAATTTGAGATGATCAGAGACATGGGCAGGACTGCAGGACCTGACTGCCAGCCCTCCTTTACCCTGGTGCCGTGCTTCAGACACCTTTGACCTCTCTCCTCCTCCTCAGGTGCCTACCTGGTGCCCTACCTGGTGCTGCTGATCACCATCGGGATCCCACTCTTCTTCCTGGAGCTGGCTGTGGGCCAGAGGATCCGCCGGGGCAGCATCGGCGTGTGGCACTACGTGTGTCCCCGCCTGGGGGGCATCGGCTTCTCCAGCTGCATTGTGAGTCGGGAGCTGGCACTGGGCACTGACTGGGGGTGGAGGGGCCGCTCTTGGGTACGGGGTCTCCAGACTAGTCCTGGGCCAGGTTGGGGCAGGGAAGAACTTCTGCGTGGGAATTGCTCCCAGCTGGTGTCTCAGGATCACATTATTTCCTAAACTGAAAGTTGGCTCCACTGCCTGAAGCAGGATATAAATTTGGGATTGTTGTTAAGGAGGGAAGGCTGGGACATCTCTGCTGGGTTCTCTGTGGGCGTGTAGACCACCCGGATACCCCTGTCTGCGTACCAGCCCGTCAGCTCCTGCCAAGAGACCCTTCCCCTCTTTTCTTGGTTAAAGAATATTTTCACTGGGCAAGTGGGTGGCAGGAAAAGGCAGCCCTGGCATGGGGCTCCTTGCCATTTTGCTGAGCTATGAGCAGAGCCGGAGGAGGACAGACAGGAGCCGACCCGGGCGCGGGGAGACTGGAACAGCAGGATGCAGGAGAGCCCTGGATGGGGAGCTTCGTGAGGGCTCTCGGCTCAGAGCCTCCCTTAGGGACGAAGCCCGCAGATGCCCATGCTCTCACCTGGGATAAAAACTAGAATCTGCTTCTGGAAGGGACTAAGGATTCTGTCAGGCATGGCAGCTGGGCCAGCCCAAACCTGGCTTGGGCAGAGACCCGGAGAGGGTCTGTGCAGCTGCCCCTCTCATGCTGGGCATCGCCTCTGCCCAGGAGGACATGGCCGCATACAGCCCACCTGGCTGGGTCGGCCACGAGTGTGACCGGGGTCCCCCTTGGACTGAAAGCACCCAAGTAAAGGCAGTGGGTGTCCTCTCCCTCTGTCCCCAATGACGTGTGCTGTAGGAATGTCTGCTCCCACACACCAGGGCTCAGCTGAAGTGGATGAAGCGAGGGGCCCTCAGCTGTCACACTGACCAGCAGTGTCACCGATGCCTAATATAACCGAGGCCTGGGAGGTGGAAGGGACCTGTCACCATCCGTGCAGCAGATCTGTGCAGCATGACTGCCTTCAAGGACGCGCCTTGGACCTGGGCCTCTGTCAGAGCTACAAAGCCAGTTATCACGCTGCCAAGAAATGAGAAGGGACGTCTTTCTGGAGGAGCCTGAAGAGCAGTGTCCTGAGAGAAGGGTGGACACAGGAAACCAAGAGGAAGCGTCCAGAAAGTCTCAGACGGCACCGTGGTCTGGGCGCAGTTGACTGCCGAGGCCAAAGCTGGGCATGTCCCCACGGTCCTGGGGCCACACTGGAACTGTGACGCGGGTCATCAGGAAATGATGGGGAAGTGCTTTAAGCATCTTAGAAGAAGTTCATACTGGAAGGATTAACATGTTCGGAGTTTACTGCTTAAAGGAGAAAACTTTAATATCGCAAACATTCCTCTGTGGATTCTTTGAATACCAGATGAAGGAGGATTAGGAGGGGCCTTCAGCTGCCTGATCTCATCCCTCCTCCCCCTCCCCTCCTCCCCCTCCCCCTCCTCCTCTCCCTCCTCCTCTCCCTCCTCCTCTCCCTCCTCCTCCTCTTCCCACTCCTCCCCCTCCCCCTCCTCCCCCTCCCTCTCCTCCTCTCCCTCCTCCTCCTCTTCCCACTCCTCCCCCTCCACCTCCTCCCCCTCCACCTCCTCCTCTCCCTCTTCCTCCTCTTCCCACTCCTCCCCCTCCCCCTCTCCCTCCTCCTCCTCTTCCCACGCCTCCCCCTCCGCCTCCTCCTCCCTTCCCCTCCTCCCGCTCCTCTCCCTCCTCCCCTCCCTCCTCCCCCTCCTTTCCCTCCTCCTCTCCCTCCTCCCGCTTCTCTCCCTCCTCCCCCTCCTCCTCTCCCTCCTCCTCCTCTCCCTCCTCCGCCTCCTCCCTCCTCCCCCTCCTCTCCCTCCTCCTCCCCATCCTCCTCTCCCTCCTCCCCCTCCTCTCCCTCCTCCTCCCCATTCTCCTCCCCCTCCTCCGCCTCCTCCCCCTCCCCCTCCTCTCCCTCCTCCTCCCCCTCCTCCTCTCCCTCCTCTTCCTCTTCCCACTCCTCCCCCTCCCCCTCCTCCCCCTTCTGCACCTCCTCCAAGGCTGCGCTATGAGCTGTGTGCAGTCTGCCCAGCAGGACGCTTTGGGTGGGGTGGGGGGGAGGGTGGTAGTGCCCTGCCGCCTCCATGACCCATGCCCTTGGACCCCATCCTCAGGTCTGCCTCTTTGTTGGACTGTATTATAATGTGATTATCGGGTGGAGCATCTTCTACTTCTTCAAGTCCTTCCAGTACCCACTGCCCTGGAGTGAATGTCCTGTCGTCAGGAATGGGACCATGGCAGGCAAGTATGGGAGCCCCTGAGCATGACCAGCTGGGGACCCCGGCCAGCCCTGTTTGTGGAAAGAGTCAAATGAGCCTCAGAGGCTGAGGCACAGATTTGGGACTGCACTGACTTGCTGTGTCACCTTGAAAAGACACCTGCCCTCTCTGATCCTCATTTTCCCTTCCGATGCCCTCTCGCCAGCCTGTCCCACAGAGTTCTGGTGGGGACCGAATGAACTAGTGAATGCAGGAGGCACTCTTCTTTAGTTGTTGTCAACTACCCTGTGCTACTCAATCTCCCCCTCTCTGAAAACAGCCTTAGTTTGTATGCCGTCTCCATAAAGGTCTGGGTGATTTATTCCACCTCACAGATGGGCAACTGAGGCCCAGAAACAACTTCCCCATGGTCACACCACTGCTTTAACCAAGAGAGGGAATCCAGGTCTTCAGCGCCCAGCTCAGGACCTTCCCGGGAACTAGAGGCCAGTTCTGCCTGACCCCTCCTGCCCGGCTCAGGTGGGCCTGGGCACGGCTGGTACGAGTGGGAATCTAGATCAGTGTGTCCTGAAGCCTCCCAGGCCCTGTCGGGAGCCCAGGAGTCCTCAAGGTCTGTCAGATCCTGGCAGACCCTCCCTGCTGCCCGGGCTCAGCTGTCCCCTTGCCCACTGCTGCCCTGGGAGGGGTCCAGCAGAGGAGGCGGCCCTGCAGCCCTGCCACTGACACCTTTGCTGCTGTCACAGTGGTGGAGGCAGAGTGTGAGAGGAGCTCGGCCACCACCTACTTCTGGTACCGAGAGGCCTTGGACATCTCCAGCTCCATCTCGGAGAGCGGGGGCCTCAACTGGAAGATGACCCTGTGCCTCCTTGTGGCCTGGACCATTGTGGGCATGGCCGTCGTCAAGGGCATCCAGTCCTCAGGGAAGGTGAGTCGGGAGGGGGCACTCCGACCCGCACAGTCTGAGGAAGGTATGGAGGGCAGGGGGCCGAGAAGTCTGGGTTGCCCCGTGCAGGGTCTCGTGGGTGGGCGTGGCCTCTGGATGACTCAGGAGGACACAGGCCCCGAGGGGGTGATGGAGTGTCATTGCCACAGTACTGTTTCTGGTGGGCAGCCCTCTGAGTGGCTCCTCACAGGTCTCTGTGGGTACAGAGCAGCCGAGCCCCGGACACCTGCTCGCCGCAGTTCGGATCCCCTCCAAACAGCGCTCATTCTTCTTTGTCCCCTGTCAGTATTTATGGACTGCCAGGGCTGGAAAGGATGTTAGGGATCCTGTAGCCCAACTCACTCATTTGTCGAAGACACTGAGGCTGAAAGGGGAAATCACCTCACCTGAGATCATGTAGGCAGTCTGTCCTGGAGCTGGAGTTAGAGCCCTGGCTGTCTGTCTGAGGCCCCAGGTTCTTTTCCAGAGTTGAAGAGCAAGGTAGCAAAGCCTTGAAACAGTAGCGTGGTCTCAGCCACCTTCTTCCTTCTCTAAAGGCCAAAACAGTAGCTGACACTTTGTGGTGCTTATCAGTGTATGATAAGAGCCACAACAACCTTATGAGTTGGGAGTTATTGTACCCATTTTATAGATGAGGAGATGGACGCATGCTGAGGCTAGATTCATAGGCCAAGGTCAGGTGCTTTGCAAGTGGTAGAGCCAGGATGAGAACGCAGGCGGCCCACCGTGGACACGCACGCTCTTGGCCTTCACACCAGCCTGCCCTAGCAGCCCTCCCGACTTGTTTCAGTACCAACATTGTGCGAGCATCTTCTTTGCGTGAGTCTCTGTGCCAGGCACGTGGGGATATGGAAATGCGTAAGAAACACACATGCTAGAAAATAGCACATGATTTATAATCACAAGAGGCAGGACCTTCTGATGTTTTTGCTTGGGAGCCATGACCGTAACCTCCTGGATGCCTTCTGTCCGTGGAGCTCTAAGGACAGGGGAGACCCTCAGGGCGTCCGCTAAAGCTAGGGACAGAAAAGCAGGCTTGAGACATGAAAAAAACAGGAAGGGAGAGCAAAGGGTTCCTCGCCCCGTTGGCAGCCCTTGGGGGTGAGGAGGCTGTGGGCCCAGCCCCGCCAGCCCTTGAAAGGAGAAAACCAGCCCCAGGCCCAGCCATGCTGACTCCAGCTTTTCTGTGCTCCTGTTTCTGCCTTGGCTCCAGACCAGACATGCGGTGGGGTTGGCCCCGTGCCCAGGGGTCCTAGGGCTCTGCTTTTTGCAGCTCTCAGAGGAGGCTCATGTGCCCCAGCTGTGAGTGGGGAGGGAAGTGCCAGCTGCAGGAGGGCCCTGCCCCACGGTGGGTCCCTGTCTTCTCCACAGGTGATGTATTTCAGCTCCCTCTTCCCCTACGTGGTGCTGGCCTGCTTCCTGGTCCGGGGGCTGCTGCTTCGAGGGGCCGTCGATGGCATCCTGCACATGTTCACTCCCAAGGTAGGTGTCTGCTGCCCACATCTCCAGCAGCCTGTCAGCCCATGCAGCATAACTCGCGGAGGCCCTGCTGGGTCAGGCCCTGGAGGGGTGCACGGGGTGAGCGTGGGCCCTGCCCTCAGGTCCCAAGGAAAGGGATATCACATTAATTTGGGTGAACTCAGAAGCAGCTTCAGGGAGGAGGTGGCTCATGAACTGAGGCTCCGGAAGCAGATAGGATTTCAGTGAGCGTCAGAAGTTCATTGCAGTCAAAGGGACCACAGGAGCCAGACCGGAGAAGCACTGGGTGTGCTTGAGACAATGGTGGGGCGTAGGGACAGGGAGGGGTGGGGGTTTCCTGGGGTGCATCGGTGACAGCAGAAACCAAGAAGATGCCTAAGAGAAGGAAGCTCCAGGGGGAAGCCCAGCTTGTATCCAAATCAGGGGAACAATGTCACTGTTTTATTAACGGTAACAGACCACATGGTCAGTGATTTTACCCTCACCAAATCCATCCACATCTCCTCTCATTCAGTCCTCCCAGCAGCCCAGAAAAGGGGCGAAGCAGGACCACTGTGCCCATTTCACAGGCCTGCACAGGAGTCCTGCGATGGTCACCAAGGTTCCTCCCAGTGCTCTCTGCACACCATGTGTCCTGCCTCTCTATCCCTGTTAGACCACTGGGCACAGCTGGCATGAGCCAGTCCACTGAGGAATAAGAGAATTTCCAATGCAGGTTGGAGTGTCCTTCAAGGCGCCCCAAGCAATGTAATTAGCAACCTTGCTGGGCAGGCTGGGAAGCCCACCTCCAAATGTCAGCTGACCGATCAGCAACTGGCAGGGGCCTGGTGGGACTCCATTGCACAGATGTGGGTCCCAACCCTGCCAGCTTGAGGCTTTAACATTGGCCCTCAACAGTGCCATGTCACACGTGTGTTCACACACACACTCACACTTAAAATACACAGAAAGTTCTTGCAGATGACACAGGGAGAAGAATCCTGATCTAGTGGGGTTTGAAATTCCCAGCTCCCGGTGTTGGGGGGTTGGGGTGGCAGTGTGCAAGACCCAGGGCTCTGTCTCCGCCAGACCACAGAAACCGCCTCGGCATGCTGGGAAGACACTCCTCAGGTTTCTATGGGAACCACCATGGAGGTCCACTTCATGAAGCACTTAGTGAATCTCCAGAGGCCCGAGTGTGACTCCTGGGCCGCGTGGCTGGCGCAGGGTTGTTGTGAAAACGTGGTGTCTGACTAAGGAGAAAAATGCGTCCTGGCCGGTTTGGCTCAGCGGTTAGATCGTTGGCCCGGGTTCGGTTCCCCGCTAAGGGCACGTACCTCGGTTGCAGTTGTCCCCGGCCCTGGTTGGGTCGTGTGGGTGGCAGCCACTTGATGTGTCTCTTTCACATCGATGTTTCTCTCTCTCTCTCTCTCTCTCTCTCTCTCTCTCTCTTCTTTTCTCTCCCTCACACTCTGTCTGAACAAAAAATGGGAAAATGTCCTCGGGTGAGGATAAAAAAAAGAGAGAGAAAATGCAAACTTGGTTTCTTTGGGGGAAACCAGCTATGAGAAGAAAACCAACTGTTTTATGAGTGACTTCAACTGTATTTCTAGAATCAGTCTAAAGTGTACACTTGAGTCTTTCAATTACACTTTACTGAGCTTTCTGAGGAAATGAGATCCTCTGGAGAGGGTGGCAAAGGGGGAGCCTCGCTCAGTCTCTAGATGAGCCCTGTGGGGTGTTGGGAAGGCCCGGTGTTCAATCAGGAGCAAGGGAACCGAGTCATGTCGGCTGCTGGTCCCAGCACAGACAACACTGCTCAGATACTCTTTAAGATACCTTTTTATTTGTGAAATATCTCAGGCATATAAACACACATACATAATAATATAATAAACATTCTTAAGAAATAAAATAGTACAGATCATTATAGCCTGCCCTGATCCCACTCCCTTCCCTCCCAAAGGTAACCACTATCCTGAATTGGGGATTTATCCTGCTGGAACATTAAAAAATTTTTGTAATACAGATATGTACATCCATAAACAGCATATAGCCATTTGTGCACACTTTTAAACTGTATATGAATAGCATCATTTTCTATGCAAACTTCAGCAGCTTGCTTTTATTTTTGCTCCACACTGTTTTTCAAGATTTAGCTCTAATGATATATGTAGCTCTAGTGCATCCATTTTCACTGCTGTATAGTATTCTATTATAGCACTGAACTAAAATTGATTTATTCATTCTGTAGCTGATGATCATTTAAGTTTTTGCCAGTGTTCACCATTGCTAATAATGCTGTGATAAACATTATTACACAGATGTTTGTATGCACAAGTCTCTCTAGGGTGTATGTGTTTAGGAGTGGAATTGCTATCCCAAAGGTTATGCATATCTTCCGTTTTACTAGATGTTGGCCAAATTGCTCTCTAAAGTGGTTGCATCTATGAACACTCCCACCAATTGTATATGAGAGCACCAGTTGCTCCACTTTGGTTAGACTTCAGTTATTGTCAACCAGATGGGTGCAAAATGGTTGTGTGCACTTTGAACAGCAGGGCCATCCTTTGCAAAACCCTGTCCTGGATGTTCAGGAAACCTTTAATTCCACTTCAGCATTTGCAGAGGCCAGAGTCTTCACAAGGTAAAGTATAAAGAAATAAATCCAGCCCAGCCGGTGTAGCTCAGGGGTTGAGCGTCAACCCATGCACCAAGAGGTCACCAGTTCGATTCCTGGTCAGGGCACATGCCCAGGTTGTGGGCCACATCTCTAGTGGGGAGCATGCAGGAGGCAGCCAATCGATGTTTCTCTCTCTCTCTCCCTCTCCCTTTATCTAAAAATCAATAGAAAGAAAGAAATCCAGAAGGCTCTAGAGGAGCCAGGTCACCAAGAACCAGCAGGTGTGCCCCTAGCCCACCTAGCTCTTGTGACTTTCAGTATGGACGGAATCTGTGGGGCCCATCTTGAGACCTTGCCTACTGAGCAGTTCTGTGGAGCAGCTCCTGCCCTTGACCCTGGAGGGATGTATTCAGCAGGGAAAGGGGGCCCGAGGGCCTCAGAGGCCAAACTCCTCCATCAAGGATCATCAACACCACCTGTGCCACTGTGTGAGGCAGGTAAGGCTAGTAGTAATGGCTGGGGTGAGGCTCCTATGTAAAAATCCCTCCGAGTCAGCTGCAAAAATACCCACTCCTGGAAACAATTGTCCGACAGCCCAGACGTGGCAGACTCCTGCTGCAGAGCCGTGGCTGTCCCAGCACGGACCGGTGAGATGTGAGGACCCTGGAACCATTTTAACTTCTTGCCCTGGAATGGTGCTACAGAGTATCAGGGTCACGGCTGCACACAGCTGCCCAGGCTGTGCACTGGCCCATTCACAAAAACTACAATGTAAACGACAGTCGTGCCATTTGGCAGCCATGTCAGAGTCCAAGAAGATTTTCAGCCGAGGCATCTCAGAATCCTGAAAGAAACGTGGGTTCGCCATGGATGTGCTGCATGACCTGGAAGGTGCTTCCTCCTGCACAGTGTTCCAACATCTGAGATAATCCAAGTTGTAGGACCTGGACTTCAGCCCATGACTTCAAGTAGTTCCTGAGTATGACAAATGCGCTGTGGTCAGGATACCATGATGACCAGTAGCATTTTTAATGGGACACTAACTCATGTTAATGGCTAATGAATTTCTTGAATAGGCCACTTCTCTCCTGATTGCTTTCTTTCTATCCAGTTAAAAACATAAGTCCATGTGGGGTACCATGCCATTAATCATGTGATTTGCCCAACATAAAGTGGTGGATTATGGCAGATTTTTTAACCCTCCAAACTTCGAGGGAATGTTTATCAAAATTGCAAGTGCTCATGTCCTTCGGCCCAGGGATTCCACTCCTGGATGTGCTTACTCGCAAGCAAAGTGATCTATGCACAGTACCGGTCGTTACAGCATTTTGTTTTAGCAGCAAAAGACTGAAAACCCAAATGACTATCATGCATTTATTCCTTCATTCAGCAAAGGTTCAACGAATGCCTGTTATGTTCTGGGCACTGTTGTGGGTCCTGGGATCCAGCAGTGAGCAAAGCTGACAAAGCTCCTGGAGCTGGCATTTTAGTGGTGGAGACAGACTACATGAGATAAGGAGATGCTGGATCATGTTGGTAAGGAGAAAAATAAAGTGGGAAAAGGACTGAGCGGTACCGGGGGAAGGGGTTGCTCTAGACAGTGTGCTCAGGGAAGGCCTTGTTGAGAAAGTGAATTTGAGTGAAGACCCGAAGGAAGTGAGGAAGCAGGCCGTGTGGATACTTGAGGTAGCACATTCCATTGAGAGAACAGTACACGGAAGGCCTTGACATTGGATGTGTCTGTACACTTGGGGAGGCTAGTGTTGCTGGAGCAGGAGTGGGGAGAGGTAGGACGTAGTCAGGGGGCAGTGGGAAGCCAGATTATGAGGATTTTGTAGGCCAGGTAAGAACTTAGGTGTGAATTCTAGGTGAAATGGGAGCCCCTGGAGAGTTCTGAGTAGAGAAACGACATGATCTGACTTTATCTTCGAAGGATCACTGGCTGCCTTAGAGAACCTGAGCGGTCAAGGGCGGGGCAGGGAGACCTGCTAGGAGGCTGCATCCAGGTGAATGCATTCCAGGTGAGAGGCGCCTGTGGTTGGAGCCCAGGTAATGGCAATGGGAATGATAAGTGGTCAGATGGAAGATACGTTAAGGAAGCAAAGTTACTTCCTGTGATTTGCTATTGGATTGAATGTGAGGTGTGAGAGAAAGAGAGGAGTCAGGGATGACGACCCCCAAGGCCTTTTGCCTGAGCAACCTAGGATGGAGTTGACATTGATGGCGATGGGGGAAGATGGTGGGAGGAGCAGGTGTGGTGGGGAACACCAAGAGTACCGTTTTGGACACGGCAGATCTGAAGTCTGACATCTGAGTGGAAATGTTGAGTGGGTGGTTGGATAGATGAGTCTGGACGTTGGATGGAAGTATAAATTTGGGAGTCTAAGAATTTAAAGTCGTG